GACTGTGTATTGAATGTACTATTAGCTAGGATGTTGTGCTACGTGTAACTTGGACTGTGTATTGAATGTACTATTAGCTAGGATGTTGTGCTACGTGTAACTTGGACTGTGTATTGAATGTACTATTAGCTAGGATGTTGTGCTACGTGTAACTTGGACTGTGTATTGAATGTACTATTAGCTAGGATGTTGTTCTACTGGTAGACTTGGACTGTGTATTGAATGTACTATTAGCTAGGATGTTGTTCTACGTGTGACTTGATTAGCTATGGATTTGGGGTAGACACCCGATATGCAGCAACTGTCAGTAAACGGAGGTTTCTTTAAAGCATGTTAGTTAAAACTCACAAACCTACGTGACAAGTGATATTTATTTCTGACAAGTCGACCACTGTGCTACATACTTTATACCTTAATGTGCTGAGAACCGAATTGAATCTCAATATGGCGCGTCATCTTGACTCGCGAGTAATTTTGTAGGGGGCGCTCTCAGGATTGAACTTCCTATACAAGTCAAATACAAGTCAGTATTGTTTATTAGATACAGTTTGAGCAATTCATAAACACGAGCGACGAGTAAATAATATTAAAAACTACTAATACCAATATTTATAATAAATATAAAGTAATGATTGTTGTAGTTTTTTGTTTGTTTGTATGTTAAATGGCCGAGCAAATATTTATGAATCAGCGAGCTGTAAGAACATCTTAATAAAATACAAAATAATAAATAATAGGTTTATATGAAACGACTAACTTTACTATTGTCATAGTGACACCAAACACCTCTTTCAATGAGGCATCCAGTTTTTGATTTTAGTTTTCCCCTTCGTCGGAGGGGAGCTTGGAGAATTGTACTCATTTCCCCTCCCTCCATCCTTAATCTGGCCATCCCCACGGGAAGGACATAAAAAAGTCTGTAATTTAAGGAGTGAGATTTCAGTCTTCATCAAAGTAATTTCAATAATAACGTACACCATTTACGGATATTCCAACTGTATTAGTTGTGTATGTAAGGGTTTTATCATTACTTTGTCTAACAGCAGTTTGAAAATGCTTTACATCAAAGTTTGCAACAAAATGCAGATTATAAAACCTGGTTGTGAAATCAAGAAACAGGATTGAGCAGTTTCGCCAACATCTGCAATAGTTTAGCAAGGAACGCAAAAAAACTTGTAAGAACTGATTGGTCACTGCATAGTAAGAACGTTAAAATATAGCATTTAACAGGGAAGTAGTCAGTTGGCGCGGCCGGTATTAAGGGTTAACCTTTCTTCTGTTAAGAAGAGGTTAATAAATCTAACAATGCGAGTGGGCATAGCTGACATATCATCAAAAATTGGGAAAACAATTGGATTCCTGCAGTATAATGTGAACAATGGACATAAGAAAATGTAATTAGTTGATTTTTAAAAATATTTGAACTTTTTTTTTTTTTAAAACGATAACAAAGATGATTAAGAAACTTAGCCTAACTAAGCCTTCTTGCTGTGATGAACAAAAGGGAAACTCTTGTAACAAAATAAGATGTTGGTAAGCCGTCGTGATGTTCAATACTGGAGTTCTTGTTTAACGGACATGCTAATTAATCTCGTCTAGTTGTTGAATATTTTCTGTAGTTATTAAATCATAACAATCGTATCTTGACCGATTTCTGTTTGAAGCCCACGTAATCGTCATTTGTTAGGTTTAAGATCGCTTCTGTATTTTAACCTGGAAAGGATTCTTTTTTTCTTTTTTAAGAAACTAACTACTTATTTTTTAATACTAAAAATACTGGTTTCGTGACGGGAAATATTAAGATATTAAAGAAAACTACAACAGAGATGCCATCTGGAGTCAAAATATTGAGGTAGAAATGTTCATTTTACCAAGAAATCGATTGTAAGGCTTTGTCTGGAGTCAGTTTTGCGTAACTGTTATCCATATCATAAAGTCCTCTCTTGAAGGTTTTAATAAAATCTATTTGTTTTGAACGAGTACATTGCAAACGTTCCATCATTACGTTCACCTGTTATTGGTTGTGTCATTGTTTGCTTAAACTGGCAGTTGTATTTTCGATTAAAATAAAACAAACTTGTATCTAGTATTAAAAATAATGATCGCTAAATAAAAAAGCTATGTAAGTCTGGGTACTGAACTACAAAACAAAATAAAAGGAACCAAACAAGATATGGATGGAAGTGGACATACCACTTGATCCGGCTAATGATCACATAGCAGACTAAGTCGTCTTGACTTTACATGGAGAATAAAATCCCTACATTACTGTCTTCCCCACTTTGTCTGTCGAAAACTTTGTGTTTGAATATAATCTCAGCTTTCATCATTTGCTTTAGTTAACTTTAGAATACTACTTTTATGACTGTTTTACAATAGAGTAACATTTTACGATTGGAAATTCTGGTTCTGTTTGTTTTGAAATTCTGTAACCAGACCTAAATATTTTTTTTTATTTAGCGATAAATTTGTTTCCTTATACTTGTTTTTTTTCTTTTTTTCTTTATAAGATGGCGTACGTGGGTTACTAGGTCATAGAATGTATTCTAAAGCTTTATAAATTTTGTATACAATAATAATAAAATAGGTAGTCAATTATAGTTACTGTTAGAACTCGATAGGTACTAGGCCTATTGAAGGAAGATGATGATGAACGAAAATAAGAAATCTCAGTATTGGCTATTCGCCGGTTTTCGACTTTGGGACGCTCTGGATAGCTGAAAAGCGGCATATACACCGGAGACATAGGGACTATGACAGGTAGCTTTTCATATCCAGCTTATGACTGCCTGTAGAGAAGAAAATCCAGATGAATTTTGTATTGCTTTATACAGGCGACTGTGCCATCCTTACATAGAGTACTAGTGCACTCTCAGATATGTTTATATCGCTATGTAGTTTTATAAAGGAGGATTATTTTCAGTATTGTAAACTTTAACATTTAGTATGTTAGTATCCGCAACTGTTGATTGAAAAAAATTATACCTGGTATACCGTCACATACATATAAATTGCATATCACGACGTTTTCCTTCTCGTTATTTACCTTTGTTTTCATTCCGTATATTTTATTTAATTATAAAAGTTTCTATCAGTTGATGCTTTAATTACAACATTTGTAACGGAAGAATTAACCGATAACAAATTTACCTTAAGTTTAGTTTTTTAGTAGTTTTATTGATTTATTTAAATCTTTACAGAGAGTCAACTTGTCCGGAAAACACCTCCTTCGTATGTAGACGGGGTATATAAGCTCGCGGACAAAGGCAGGCCTAGTGCTCGAGCGGTCAGCCAGGTAGTGTTTAAGGGTGATGATGGGCTACCATCAGAGCGGAACTTGACAGCCTTATTTGCTTTCTTTGGTAAGACTAATAAAGATAAAAAATGAAACAAATAAAACGTTTCTCACGAGCTTCCCTACACGCTTTTTATCATATATATAAAAAAAAAAAGAAGCAAGCCTTAATATGCATGTCTGGGAAAGTGAGCATACAAAGTTCATACGTTTTCATTTTAAAGGTTGCTGTATTCATGTGTTAATAGTTAACTTGATATTAAACCTCAAGTCACTCCTAACACCCGGTTACCGATGTTGTGGACATGTTGAGTAGCGCTTTGCTAATTGTTGAATCCTTTTGAATAATTGGTCTCGGCATACTCTCGTTCTCTCGATTACTTTAAACATATTTCAACTTATGCGGTCATTTCTTTATAGCTTATATGCGCAATAAAGGAAATCAATATGCCATTTCAGGATTAAACCTCCCCTTTCCCAGGGGGGGGGGGACCTCTGAGCCCCCTCCCTGTGTGTAACAAATTTGCTTCTACTAACAGTCTAGTAATTAATCAATTGGAGTATACATATAAAATGAAGCCCCGAAATTAAGATCTAACACTGGTCTTTCTTCTGGTTGGTAGATCAAATTAAGGGACGGTTATACTTGAACCAAAGGGTAGTCTCTTACCCCACATGCATATATGATGCCGTCCACCCCCCTCCCATTTCCAATTTAAATTGGAGCTAATTTTGCTTTGTTGATTGTTGCTCCCTCTGGTGGAACAGTACGAAGTCTAAGCATCATAATCGTTACCTGTAAATGCGGTTCGTAACGACATCTTTTGAAGATTGTTCTCTTGTAAGTGAGTAAGTCATAAAATTTACTACTAACATGTTTAACAAGTTATGTTAATTTTATAAATTATTTATGATATGTATTTTTTTTTAAATATGTAAAATGATGACACGGAATGTAAATTCTTTGATCGTAAGACCACACTATTATTACAAATGTAATGTTTCACAGGCTTGAAATACTATAACGTCGTGGATGAGCGATTTTAGAACAAGCGGAGCAAGTGCTCAAAGATGTTTTATAAAATACTTGTATTATTCTTATCGTGGGCGTCACGTCGTGGTGCTGGATGCGTTCCGAAACGTTATCTGTATCCAGGTTTTATGCTAAACCTTACAAACTGATGCAGACGAATTCGAAAACCTGTTGAAATTTTTAACTCGTTAACTACTTAGTTGCGCAGATAGCCCTCGTGTAGCTTTGCGCGAAATTCCAAAAACAAAACAAACAAACTACTTAGTTTTAGTGCTTGTTTGACGAGTATATTTAACGTAATAAGATATCAATGTTTTATTTCAGCCTTCAATTAGAATACATATAAGTAGAATTTCCGGATTTAACACCACAATAAAATTATATATGTGTTAAAATTATTCAGTTTTCATTGCGGTGAGCCACAATGTTTATGATTTTAAAAACAACAACAATGATCTGATCGGAAATGACCGTTTTTTTATGTTCTTTAACTGGCTATTACAGCGAATGATTAAAACATACAACGTTAGATTACAGGGAGTGTAATATTTAAGTAAAAACAACAACAATGATCTGATCGGAAATGACCGTTTTTTTATGTTCTTTAACTGGCTATTACAGCGAATGATTAAAACATACAACGTTAGATTACAGGGAGTGTAATATTTAAGTTAAAACAACAACAATAATTTGATCGGAAATGACAGTTTTTTTTTTATGTTCTTTAACTGGCTATTACAGCGAATGATTAAAACATACAACGTTAGATTACAGGGAGTGTAATATTTAAGTTAAAACAACAACAATGATCTGATCAGAAATGACAGTTTTTATGTTCTTTAACTGGCTATTACAGCGAATGATTAAAACATACAACGTTAGATTACAGGGAG